AAAGACCAACCTGAATACCGAGCGGCCATCGGGGACCCGTTGATGAAAGCATACGAAGCAGTTTATGGTGAGTGATAGATCGAATCATACCCATACTCATGTCGAGGGACATCGGAAATCAAAGCTTTCATTCCTTGACTTCATCTTTTAATTTCAAGCAATGGACTCACCTGCTTCATGAGGTTCCTATCAGCCGCCCGCGATACCTCGACAGCTTCAACAGCAGCTAAACTCAAAAATATATTCCTTCATTCTTATTCAAGAAATAAACCATTGGTGAAGCGCGATGGTGAAAGTCCTCTCCGTTGGAGGTATGGCGCCACATCAAGCCCGAAACCGATTACGTTAGGCCCTGTTTTCGGACACATTCGGTTCCGGATGAAACCGACTACGAAAGTGCCCTCGTCCGCACTTTTGGGTTGGGTTTAGAAGAGAGCAGGATAAGAAGCCCGGAAAGCTTGGTTTGCAATGCATTCGACAGCAATCAAATTCAGTTCCAAGAAGTTCTAGAGACCGGAAAACTAGTGGATAAAGTCCGACAACGGAAGGGGTTCAACAGTTATAGATGGGTGTGGCGTGCATCAATGTGGGCGGAGTCTGCCCAAAACTTATATTTCAGTTCCACAGAGTCCGTGGGGCAGAGAAAAAGGGGGTAGAGGTCGGTTGGGTAAATGAAGACCACCTGCTAATGGTGGGTAAAGGATAATGTGCTCGATTAGCGAATACCTTCAGAGATGCGCCCTGCATTCTACAACTTCAATGCAGAGCCTGGTATCTCAGGCATAGTGACTTGGCTTACAACTGCGTGCGGCGCCAGCTGAATGATGGCTTCATTGCTCTAGATCAATCTATGTAAGGTGTTAACAACCTATACGTAAAAGGTATGCTAGGCCTGGCAGAGGTGCGATGTTGGACCACATGTGGAATCGCCCTCCTTCCCCCCACATTTACCAATCCACCAAAGCCAGTTAGAAGTGTAAATAACGATGTCTGAAACATTGTGCAACGTCCATCCAGGTCGAGTGAATTTTAAGTCAACGTTCCCATCTGAACACTCAGAGGTTAGTAGCCTATCTTGATGAGTAGGAACACTTTGTTGGTGGAACATAGTTTAATCCAATGGATTTGCTTGCTCAGGAGCTTTCGCCCATCGCACCATTATGACCTTCTGCGAAAAAAGTTTCGGAAGAGAGAAATTTCGGAACCTACTAGTTATGAAA